GATACAAGGAGGCTAGTTTCTTAGGGTGTGATGCCTAGATGGCAATTCACTTGATCCAGGGCAGAGATTTACTATAGGAGCTGTTGGAAATGCTGTAGCTTCATGTGTTACCACATCACGCCTATGTAGAGTGATGACAGATGTAGTGTAACATATGGAAACCTTCAAGGATAGGTCCAAAAAAGATGCTGGAGCAAGTCATTAGTGAAAGGCCAATTACTGGTATGTTCTGTCCCTCCAGGAGAACACTATTCTTCCTTTTGGGCCACATATACCTGAACAGAGAATGCTGGCAAACTGGTTAAATCAATAGGCAATACGTCAATAACAACAAGTACATGGAATTTTATCCAGAACATTCTTTAGCAGATCCCAACCCAGTGGCTTCTTCCTGCAAAAGGGGCCAGTTCCTCATTTGCTCCTTTTTCGTAGTTGTTTGTGCTTGCCTCCCAGATACAGAATGCTTATTAGTGGTTCCTTCAAGTTTGCCAGGGTCCATTTCCATTGCAAGCACTCATGAAAGCTGCTTTTCAGATATGCATGCAAGCTTGGTGTCAACTTAATTACTGACCCTCTCTAGCTCACCTTTCTCATGACTCACTTCAACTGCAAGGTAGTGAGTTGGGATTATTTTATTTATAGATATAGATATTTTTTATTCTCTAGATAAAATTATCTGCAGACCAACACTAGACTAGTCCATTTTGGAATACTGAGAACTCTAAACAATCAATTTGTTTCCCCTGAAACTTCCCATTATAAGACCCTGTTTTCAATTGCTTATAACTTTGCCAAACTTTAACCATCCAACTCTTAATCAGAAAAAATGTGAATGATAATTGGGAATCATTTAAGAATACTTTACTAGATGCCCAGAAAGCCACAATCGAGGAAGAAGGCCCAACTGGTTAAAAAAACAGCCTGGTTTACAGGGAAAGCGAAGGCAGCTGTAAAATCATAATAATAAAAAACAACAAATAGAAGAAAGGGGAAGTTGATGGTAATGAAAAGTTAGTAATTGTAGATAATTGACAAGGGACCGTGAGTTCCCATTGTGACGCTGGGGACAAAATAGGTAATGCAATCCTTGGATGCAGAAACGGGAATCTCAAGCAGGAATAGAGGTTATTTTATCTCTATATTTGGCACTGGTGCAATTCCTGCTGGACTATGTCCAGTTCTGGGGCCCACAATTCAAGAAGGATGTTGTTAAACTGGAGAGGGTTCAGAGACAAGCTGTGAGAATGACTAAAAAATTAGAAAACATGCCATATAGTGGTAGACTCAAGGAGCTCAATCTGTTTATCTTAACAAAGAGGTGGTTAATGGGTGACTTGATTACAGTTTGTAAGTATCTACATTGGGAACAAATATTTAATAACGGGCTCTTAATCTAGTAGAGAAAGGTATAACACTATCCAATGGATGGAAGTTGAAGGTAGACAAGTTCAGACCGGAAATAAGGCATACATTTTTAATTATAAGAATAATTAACCATTGGACCAATTTACTAAGGATTGTGGGGGATTCTCCATCAGTGACTATTTTAAAATCAAGATTGGATATTTTTCTAAAAAGATATGCTCTCAGAATTATTTTGGGGTAGTCCTATGGCCTACATTCCTTTCTGGCTTTAGAATATATGCAAGCTGAAATTTTCCATGCCAGATGTCTGCCTCAAGCTGAATTGTTTTGGAAAATGGTCAGTTAAAATGGTTTAGTTGGTTCCAAGAATCAAGCAAGGGGAAAATTCATTTTTATTTTTTTTCCTACAGACAACAGCCTCCTTCACTACACAGCCCTTATTCATCCCCAGAGAAGTTCCAGTCTGTGCACTGAATGAGGCAGGGGTCCTGTGGAAAAAATAGGATGTGCTCATGTAATTAAAGACTGTGTCAAAATGCATAAACAGAAGGAAGCCAAATTAAGGTAGCACAGGCAGCCTTAGCTTGTGAGGGCTTGACTTTGCAGCCATAATGTCCTTTTTAATGTAAGTTGAATGTGTTATTTTATATATTTGGTTGGTTTAGCATGAGATTGTCCTTCTATTTCTTTATTTTAGCACAGAATGCCATATCAATAATAGCATTTGCACAATAGCTGGTAGTCCATCTTTTCTTCAGTCCGAGCCTCAGATAGCAGTGATTGTTCTCTCAGCTTTGAAAGTGTTTGCCTGAGAAAGGTGTGGCTTATTCAGCAAATATGATTGGAGTATATTCAGTTATTAGATCAGAAAGCTCTATATTATAAATTGGATATTGGAAGATTGCTGAAACCAATTACACACTAAGTCAGAATATTGCAGGGACAAAAATATAGTTCATTTCCTACATGCAAAATTAAGTCAATATATCTCTCATTCCTCCCCCCCCCCCACCTCAATAGATATCCATTCACATCAGGAAGGTGTACACTTAACTTGTAGAAAAAAATATTTCCCACCCCTCCATTCATTCTGTTTTCAAGCTAGCTGTCTCATAAGCCTTACTAGCCAGAGTTTACAATGTGACATCTGTGATGCAGCTTCCTAGCTCTCAAAGGTACCATTCAGGCAGTTTTAGTTACATGTCTAGCCAGACTCTGTGGCAAGGGACTGGGTATCTCTCACCTAGTAGCAAAGATGATATGCTTGCATAGGAGGGTGGTATTGTGTTATGAAATGGGGGGTGTCAGGACCAACAAGGGCAAAGATGTTAATTAAACTTTTGTTTATTGTTACAACAGTAATGAGTGGTTGGGAGTTTTATGTTACTTTATCATTGGCTTACTCTTATTGTAATGACTACCATTCACAGTCTTTGTAACCTTTCATCAAGGGTGCAGAAAGGAAAAACAGCTGTAGCATTTGAAATGTAAAGCATTAAATAAGGCTTTCAGTTTAACAATATTCCATAGCTCCTTCTCCCTTTTGCCTGTATAAAGTATTTTATAGAGAACCCCCCCTTTGATGGATTGTGTCCTTCAGGGCCGGCTCCAAGGTTTTTTGCCGCCCCAAGCAGCCCCCCTCCCCACCCCCGCAAAAAAGACCGCGATCGCGATCTGCGGCACTTCGGCAGGAGGTCCTTCGCTCCAAGCGGGAGTGAGGGACCCACTGCCGAATTGCCGCCGAAGAGCCAGACTTGCCGTCCCAAGCACCTGCTTGGTAAGCTGGTGCCTGGAGCCGGCCCTGGTGTCCTTTTTTGGGGGAAAGAGAAAGTTAGTTGAAGTGGGCTGGAGCTGCTGTTGTTGAAGTCTGATCCTGTTTACAGTAAGACTAAACAAATACACACAAAAGGGGAGAGAAAAGAATAGCAAAGATAGAAAATGCAGCTTCCGTCTTTTGTGCTGAGTCTCACTTCCAGCTTCCCTGCTGAAGAAACACGAGCACAGTGTACGTGGTTTTGTCAGCCACTATAAGAGCTGGCAAACTTGTACCACTGTCAGGCTGTTTTAAGGCATTGCTTTTAGCTGCCTCTCTGATCAGACACATAACAGTGTTGCAAAAGATGGAATTGTCTTAGCTGTCTAAGCCAGACTCTTTTGAGACAGAAGACAAAAGGAGCTAGGGAAGAGAAAATATAAGATGGGGAAGGAATATGACACAAGGGAGGGAGGGAGAGCAGAAACCCAAGTCTCACGTTCAAAGTGATGGGCAGGATTTAGCCGAAGCCAGTGAAAGTGGGAATGTCGTTGGTTCTCTCTCTGTCTGGCTCAGTCTGGGCATGACATCTCTCAGGATCAGGATGATGAAGTCCAAGGATGTCATGATGGATCCTGGGGTCTCAGGAGACTGTGGAGATGCCAGCGATGATAGTTAAGCTTGCTCCTTTCAGCATGCACAACCTCTCACTACCATTTAGTGATCACCAGATAATGTGCAAAAAAGGGATGGCAACCTCATTCGATTAAATATTAACACATTTCTGTGATTTCAGCTGTAAACATTTCCTCCCATGTATAGACTCTTTCAATTTGTTGTTATATTAACTTGTGACTTTATCAGGAGCCTTAAAGACCCCTCTTCACTGTTCTTTTAACTTAGGCTGTGTCACTGGGGTGCTTCAGTGTAGACACTATAGCGATGGGAGGGGGTCTCCCCTCATTATATTTAATCTACCTCCCCAATAGGCAGTAGCTAGGTGTAACAGGGCATAGTAGGGCCCCCCTTGGTCCTGGCTCAACAATCACTGGTGCAGTTTATTTACAGCATGCAATCCCACCACCTTCTCACCATCTACAGCTTGGGGGTTTGAGCCTTAAGGACTTCTCAATCTCTGCAGCCAGGAGGAAAGCGCTACCGCTCTCCTTCCATTCTCTGGCTTCCCCACTTTGGCTTCCTGCCCCTGAGGCTTTTATGCAGCCCCAGGCTGATTAGACTGGCAGCTGTTTCCCCTTTGCCAATCAGGCACATGTTTCTCTAGGCAGCTCCAATCTAACTCCCTTAATTGGAGCTGGCATGACAGAGGGCTGGCTCAGGAGTTCCAGCCCAGCACCCCATCACACAGGGTTAACTGAAAAATTCTTCAGTCAACCTGTCCCTGGCTACACTAGAGGTTAGGTTGGCATAGCTAAGTGTCTCCAGGGTATGGATTTTTCACACCGCTGAGAGACATAGCTATGTCAATGTAAGTTTTCAGTGTAGACCAGGCCTTATTCTAGTTTGTACCAGTCTAATGTTATGTCTGCACTTGGAGCTGGAAGTTGTCATTTCTAGCTTGAGGAGACATACTCTATCTCTAATCGAACTAGTGTGCTAAAAAAGTGTAGCTGCTGTGGTGGGAGGGGCTAGCCATGCTGAGTACATAGCTGTCCAGGATGCTGTGTATGTACTCGGGGCAGCTAGCCCCTCCTGCCGCTTGCGCCTTCCCAACTATATTGTGGTTTTAGCACGTTAGCTCGATCAGAGAATGTTGCCTTGAGTTGCACATTATGCCTTCAGCTCAAAGTATAGACATACCCTATGTCTCCATCTTCTGCTGACTTTCAGAAACAAGTCCAACTCAGCCTGTTACATAAAATTATGTTACATGGGACAACTTAGAGTAAAACAATGAATTGGATTGGTTTTCATTATGAATGCTCTTCCCGTTTCCCCATTCAATGCCTGTTTCTCAAACTCAGTGGGCACAGGGGAATGGATTGAGATTGTCATGAACGCTCTTCCTTTGTGAGTCTGAGATAGATACTAGCAAGAGTAAGGTTTGTGCCATTTTTAGGGGATTTGTTGAGTGCAAAATGAGGTGAGCAGAGGTTGAGCCCTAAAGAAAAGAGAAGTTTATGTTGGGATGGAAGGAGGGTGCTTGGGTGGGATTAATTTGATAGTAGGGAGGATGTCTGGATTTGTTTAAAGGTTTGGATTCCCATGGTGTAGGGAGTTGAGTTTTTTTGCTGGGGAGTAGTTGGTTACATTAATAAGATTGTCTTTGCCCTGGAGGTCCCTATTCAGGTGTCCAGTTGCAGTGGTGGCAACCCCTTGATGGATGTGGAGGGCCCTGTGGAAAGGTTCACTTGTGAGGACTTGGGTTCTTCAATCTCTGTGGTAGTGGAATTCAATGGAAAGACTGCTTTTGGATCTGTCCCAAAGAATTGAGTTTGAGTTGGACGGATGTTTAAACCATTTGCATAGCAACTAGCATCAACACACTGTTCATAAAAGCAAATTGTAGATGCTGAAATCATTACATATTCAACTTTAATTTAATTTGTTTTAATAAAAGCTATGGGATTAAAATGCCTGCCCAAAGAGGAAATACTGTAAAGTGGTGTAAGCATTTAAACAGTTCTAACCAGGATTTGAACTCAAGTAAACTGTGGCACATGTGGTGTGAAAAGGCACTCGTGACACATGATTAATATGAAACCCAGGAGGAGGTCATGCTATTCATTCCAAGGAAGGCAAAATTAATTGTCTTAACTGTATTGAATTCTAATGACTAGTTTACTAAGCGTTTTTACATCAGTTTTATTTTCATTGGGCTTATTCTGGGATATAAATCAAAACAGCGTGTAACGTAAATGTTATTTACTGATATCAGGAATACTAATTATTTTCTTTTCTTATTTCCAGGATATTCAGCTACAGAAAACCAGCTGGAAATAGAAGGAATGGCTAATTGTCTGCCATTCTATGGTGTATCAGATTTAAAAGAAATTCTGAATGCCGTGATAAACAAAAATGCAAAGGAAGTATATGAGTGTAGACCTCTCAAAGTGATAAACTACTTGGAGGTAAGAAATAGCAGGTTTGCTTCCAGGTATTGGTCATCTTATTTTTAAATAAACTGCTGAAGCCATTTTAAAGTCTCTCTAGCTTTTGGCATTAATTAAATGCAGTTCTATTCTGATGAGAGACTCCTGATAATGAACAAGAAACAATAAAATCCAACAGACTGTCTCTCAGTTGAATTGGCTGTGCGTTGCTAAAAGAAGTAAGAACACGTTGGTCACCTCAGTCACCAGATATGACTCTGAATATGCTCAGGAAGCATATTTCAGTAAGAAGGTACTCTTTTTATGTTGGCAGTTTTCAAAGAAGAAATGCAGTTTGAATAAATTAACTGTGACCTGATAAGACATTATATAGAAAACACTATAAAGAGGCTGTTCTCCAGGTTACAGCACAGTCATCATAAAATTGTTTACAGTTTCCAGAAAGTGGTTGGTTCCTTTTTATGTATCACAGCAAAAAATTCTTAACTCCTGTCAAGCTGTCTGGAGTGGCTCAAACGTGGGTGCCAACCTCAGGGCAGATTGTTACAAACCAGGGCACAAACCCCAAACTGGTTGTGTGTTCTATAATTAGACTTTGCCAACCAAGTATCAAGTGTGGACTCCTGAAGCACTATAGCAGCCTTAATATGGAGTCACAGACAGTCCCCTTGGGCACCCAGACAATAGACAGATAGTGCCTTACACCAAAAATCACAACATTATTCAGGTTACTCCCAGTCCCAAATGACCAGTTACATACCCCAGGTCAATTGTACCTTAGATCTCTCACCAAAGACAACGCTTGCAGCCAATCTTGTAATAAACTAACTATTGGTTTATTAACTAGAAAAAAGAAATTAGAGCTATTTACAAGGTTAAAGCAGGTGAACATACACACACAAATGAGTTACAGTCTTAGGTTTCAAAAAGTAATGGAAGCTGCTGTAATGCGCAAGCTCTATATGTCCTTTAGGATTAACCCAAGCTAAGCAGCATGGGGATTCCTTGCTTATACTTAGAAATATTGCCCTCTCCAAATGCCAAACAGCATAGTGATACAGATTCTTCTGGTAAGGGATTTTTATTCCCTCCCCTCCCCCCCCCCAACCTACTA